AAAAAAAAAAAAAAAAAACACATCTTAGTAAAACCAATACCTTCTCAGCTTCGCATCGAAGCTAATACGTCAACAGTTGTGTAAAAGTTAGAATCGTGTTGCATTAAACGTCGTTGATCATTGGGATTTGTCGTTAACTGCTCTCTCTCTCATTCATATATAAAAGTATTTCGGGCTCGATGTGTACTGTATTCTTCACTTAAATATATGTATAATAACTACAGAAAACATAATTATAAATGAATTTTGAAATTTAATTTTTTGTCGCATCGTGACGTGTGCGTGTTGCATTTTTCTCAGTTGAAGATTTCAACGCCTGTGCATTAATACTAAATAACAACAATAAAAACCAGTGCGCTTATTTTATAATATACAAAAAAAAATTAAATAGTAGATCAAACAAGGTGTTTTGGCATTACATTATAAATCTTTACTAAGTTCGTATGCAAAATTTTCTGGTAGAAGAAGTAATTTATTCATAAAACTATTCAGATAGAATATAACACTATCTAAGTCGAATAAGTTCTCAATATATGATTTTATGATGGAAATGTATAAAACGTTATTGGGGAGCAACAGACTTAATAATTCTTCAAGAATTTCTAACCATCTCATAGTATAATTTTCATAATTCTTAGCTTCTTGATTTAACAAATACATGAAATGCTGAACGATTAATCTCAATATGATAATTTGTATAAAATCAAAAATGGACGTATATTACACTTTAAATGATAAAAAATGGTGACGCGATTGTGTTACATATATAATACAATAAATTTTTTCCTATCTTATAATTGGTTGGATACTTTTACTCAACTAGACGTTCATTCAGCAACATCAACTTTGTATGATGCATTACACTTCTCTATTCTTCCCTGGGTTCTACGTGTTAACTATAATAAATCTAATTTCCCTACATGGTTTTCTAAGGATTTAATTGATACAGTGTTCCAAAAAAGAAAAGCCTACGCCGTTTTTAAGACAACACGTAATCCACTAGATTACAGAAAGTTTTCTCTACTACGTGCAAAATACAAATTTTTATCGAAAAATTGTTATAGAAAATTTATTGAACAGACTGAATCTAATTTTTGTATTAATCCAAAAAAATTTTGGAACTTTGTTAGAAAGAGTAAATCTCAACAGTCAATTCCTAAAACAATTAATTTGAATGAGTTTACTAGTACTAATAGTATAGAAGTTGCTAATCTATTTTCTAAACATTTCTCTTCGGTATATGTGATATTGATAATATGTCGGTTTCCACATTTATATCATGATCTTCCAAGCAATTGTTTTTTTAATGTTAGTGATTTCGAATTAGAACTAAATAAATTGTACGGTAACAAATCAGTAGGACCAGATAGTATCTCTGGTGAATTTCTCTACATGTTACGTTCGTCTTTATCGTATCTATTATGGCTTATTTTTCGTAAATCACTAGATGAAGGTATCGACCCAAATCTATTTAATCTTGGTGCCGTAACACCAGTACTTAAGTCTGGAAATAGTTCTAATGTTAGTAACTATAGACCAATTTCATTATCTAGCCATATAGTCAAAATGTTTGATTTATTAGTATTGCATTCTATTAAACCAGCTATTAATTCGGCTTTAATTGATGGGCAACATGGATTTCGTCCTGGTCGTTCAACGACTACAAACAGTCTAGTTTTTACATATTTGAGGATTTTATGAATCGCTCTCAAGTAGATGTAATTTACACAGACTTTACCAAGGCTTTTGATCGCGTTAATCATAAGTTATTAGAGTGCTGATAGATTCAGGTTTTGGTGAACCATTATTGTCGTGGTTTCAATCTTATCTACGAGTTCGTAAGCAATTTGTTAAGGTACTTGGTATAAAATCAGACATTATTGACAGTGGCGTATTTTGAATGATTTCTCGGGTGATGTCCAACTTTTAATGAACCTCACAAACGAAAATTATAGAAATGTTTACTGACGTAAAAAAAACTTACTATTTTTCTAATTACTATTTTAGGAATTGACAAATAATTTGAAATTTGAAATTTTGGTACTGTTGTATCTTAAAAGAAACAACCCTAGTGTCTTAACTTAAAGTAATAAAAGTTTAATAATAACTCAAATGTATTTATTATAGATATAATTAAACAATGCAAAACATACAAAATAAATATACACTAAAAACACAATAAAACAATACACAAAATGAAAACTTAATGTCATAAACGTACCGCGCGAAAAGAGATTACCTTCGGTGCTCCTGAGGTCCTCTCTCCTCTACGATTCATTCCATTTCGTCTTATATACTAAAATATTTTGTTTTTCTACTTTTTGCAACATTAATAATACTATCGTTTTCAAAAATGTTTATAAATATTTAATTCCTGGTCTAGTAATAATAGATCAGGAAATTACAATTAAACAAAACATTACAAAAATGTTTTACTTCCAGCTTTACAAATGATAAACTATATTACAGTATACAGACNAAAATAATAAACTATATTACAGTATACAGACTGATTTTTTTATCATAACCCACTCATTTACTTGTAGAATAAATATAATTTAAACAT